ACACACAACCCATCCACACCCACCATACACACACACCATACACACACACCATACACACACACCATACACACACACCATACACACACACCATACACACACACCACACACACACACACACACACACATACACACACACACACCATACACATACACACACCATACACATGCACACACCATACACATGCACACACCATACACATACACACCATACACACGCACACACCATACACACACACACACCATACACACACACCATACACACACACAAACACACCACACCAACATACACACACACACACACCATACACATACACACACACACACACCATACACATACACACACACAAGGATCAACTAGTCAAACTGTAGTACCCAGAGGAAACCCACGCATGCAGAGGGAGTACATGCAAACTCCATGCAGATGGTGTCTGGGCCAGGATTTGAACGAAGGACCCAAGTGCAGCTCGTTTTCTGCCTTCTGGGGATAGAAGCCGGACGAAGTATAATGACTCCGATACTTGTATCGGTGCTGATGCCGAGTATTCTTACTCGCCCAAATGCTCCAATACCGGAGCTGATATCAGGAAGCCGGGCAGCAAGTCATTACACTCTACCCGGCTTTCTGATTCACCGGAAAGCCGGCTCCATGCTCCCTCGTCACTTGGTGACGAGGGAGCATGGAGCCGGTTTCCTAGCCAATCGTGGAGCCTGGTGCAGTGTAATGACTCACTGCCCCGGCTTCCTGATTGGTCGAGAAGCTGGCCAATCAGGAAGCTGGGCAACTGGTCATTATACTGCGCCAGGTTTCCTTAATGGGACTTCCGGTATCGGCGAGTGCCGGGGAAAAAAAAAAATATCAGTACTTGATACCAATAATCCGGTATCTGTGCATCCCTAATATTTTCTTACACGTCTGTCTATTTAAGGACCTAGCAGCTTTATTACTTAGTAGCACGAGGCCTACCTTTTGCTGGCAGCCTCATGAGCAGTTTCAGCAGTGTGAGAAATTGAGGATCTCAGAGATCGAATGTTAAATGGGCCTTCTCCTTTTCTTTTCTTTCTTTCACTTTTTCAGCCGGTTAAGGTTGAGCGAACTCCGGCTTCCATGAGAGGCAAAATCAAGTCGAAGGCCATGATCTCCTCCAGTGATGACTCCTCCGACGAGGACAAGCTGAAGATCGCCGATGAAGGGTGAGGAGAGATTTATGAATGAAGCTTCCATGTTGTACTCCATCTGTCTTATAGTCTCACTGCTCCAATTTAGCATTTTCTTGCTGTGCTACAGAATTGTTACATGTACCCCAAATTTTCTGACTTGGCGCTGAGCCCCCCAACCTCCTGACGTTCCACTGTCTAACACGAGTGCCCCAGCAGCAAATAGCAAAGACTTATTGGAGTGTGGGATGATGAGTAGGGCAGCAGCAAATAACGGAGCTCTCTTTGGATGGTGGGGAATGAGTAGGGCAGCAGCCAATAGCAGAGCACTCATTGGACAGTGGGATGATGAGTAGGGCAGCAGCCAATAGCGGAGCACTCATTGGAGACGGGTGATGAGTAGGCCAGCAGCCAATAGCGGAGCACTCATTGGAGAGTGTGGTGATGAGTAGGGCAGCAGCCAATAGCAGAGCACTTATTGGAGAGTAGGGTAATGAGTAGGGTAGCAGCCAATAGCAGAGCACTCATTGGAGAGTGGGGTGATGAGTAGGGGAGCAGCCAATAGCAGAGCACTTATTGGAGAGTAGGGTAATGAGTAGGGTAGCAGCCAATAGCAGAGCACTCATTGGAGAGTGGGGTGATGAGTAGGGGAGCAGCCAATGACACAGATTCCATCGAATGATGGGGGGGATGAGTTAGGGCAGCAGCAGATAACACACTTCACCGGCCCCTGTAAGCGGTCTGGCAGCAGCTCAGCCGCCAGAATCACTTCCACTATAAAGCCGACTTTACAAATCTAAACGCATAGCCGCCGGGAGTCTGTTTTAAAGGGGCCGCTGCCAGCAATGTACGAGATGCGTCTGTGGCAGTGATCTCTGTGGCTCCCAACGCCAAGATCCGCTGGCTGTGGCTCCAACGCTGTCCTCTGCTGCCACTTGTGTGGTTTGATGGAATATTTTTTTTGGCTCCTTTTACAAATCCGCTAACTCGTCACTTTTCTCCCTTCATGTAGAAACGCCAAAAACAGCAACAGCGACTCAGACGATGCCGGCAGACCGTCGAAAAAGCGCATCATGTCCGACAGCGACTCGGATAACGGTAACAAATCCGGAAGCGGTGGCGGCAGCCCGCAGAGGTCTCGACAGTCCGGCTCGGACTCCGAAGACAACTGGCCAAAGAAGAGGCGAAGGTCGGACTCGGGATCAGACAACGGCTCCGTCCAGTCCAGGAGAAGCGCGTCCGGAGGGTCGGACAACGGGTCGAGGGCCGTGTCGGGCAGCCCCCAATCGGACAGGGAATCCGACAACGAGGGTTCCGCCAAAGGTTCCCCCAAAGGTTCCGCAAACGAGTCGGAGCAGGAGATGTCCACCAATGAGAAATCTGACCGCGGATCTGACGACAGCGACTGAGCGCGGCGCTCCTGTGTAATTAATGTAAATACTTTAAAGTTCAGAATAGAAAAAAAGGAATAAAAAGAATTGTATATATTTGTCGGTGAAGCGAGGAAGAGACGGCGTTTTTCTTCATTTTTTACTGCTGTCGGGGTCGCCGGGTCCTAAAGCGGTGCAGTAAAAGGAACCTGTCAGGAGTACAGAGGGTGCTGTGCTGATGTCTTGCCTGTCTTTGCCCATGCAGAGTATGGTGATGGTGTCTCTGGAAGGGCCCAGCTCTTTATACTCACCTGGGCTCCCTTGCTGCTCCCTGTACCTCGGCAGCCAGTGCTGAGACCAGCTGTGTTGGGCCAATTGGTGGATCGGTCACATCACTCACCCAGTCATATGACCCTGCTCAGGACTAGTGATTGGCTGTTTAGGCTCCAACGCCTCATACGGGAGCCGGTCACAAGCTCTTATATGCCTGTAAGTGCCAGGTATGCTTGCCAGCCGCAAGGGAGCACAGGTAGGGTAAGTGTATGGGGGCCGGGGGGATGCCATTTCTAGGGATGCTGCCATGGGCAAGGTGACTGTCTATTTAAAGACCCGACTCCGAGCTCCAGGTTTCCCCCCAATAATAGGTGGCGCTGAACTTGAAATGAAAAATCCAATGAGGGGAATTTATCAGAACTGGAGCAGCTGTGCATGGCAACCAATCGGCATCCACCTTTCATTTTCAAATCTCAACTAAACAGAGAAGCTGATTGGTTGGTTGCCACTTACAGCTGCTCCGGTTTTGATCAATTCCCCTCATTGTGTAAAAAAAAAAATATCAAATCCAATATCCACCATTTCAGTGAAAACAGATTCCAGTGTATGTCCGTATACATTCCACTGATCAGTGACTCCAGGGAAAACAATGACGTCTTCCTTGTATGGTCTGCATGCAGATCCTCCACCTAATGGGGGGGGGAGGGGAGCAGCACTCGCCAAAATAGTTTGACCTCCAAGTCATGGGAAGGTCAGCGAACACCAGATCTAATCCACCTGTACCGTAGCCTAGACGGCACTCCGCGGGTGATCATTGCCTATCATTAATTAAGATCAGGGGTAGGCAATCTTGGCACCCCAACTTTCGTGGGACTACAATTCCCATGAAGCATTGCAAGACTCTGACAGCCACAGGCAAGACTCCCAGAGGCAGGGCCATGATTTGTAGCTGAAGTTGCCAAGGTTGCCTATCCCTGGTTTATATTCTGGGGCATTGTTGATTAGGGCTGCAGCTAATGATTTTCATAATCGATTAGTTGAAAATTTAAATCAGGTAACTAATCGATTGGTTGTATAAAAATTCTCTCCTGATGATAATAGTTGCCAACTATTCTATTCTCATCGATTAGTTGTTGCAGCTCTATTGTTGATAAGTTGTGCAGTGTTGGGGTTATTACATCCTCCGCACCCTGCGCTAATTATGCCGAATATTTTGAGGCGTAATCGCCATTTTTCCCAACTCCGCAGCGGCACCCTATGTATTTCTGTCATGACAGGTCTCCTTTAAAACCAGACCAAGCTTTTCTACAACTACTGCCCTTTAGGTTGGTTTCAGATGCAGTATGTTTTGCTTCTGACCTAACCAGGTGTGCTGATCGGATGCAGGTTTTGACAGGACCGGAGCTGTCCAATAGGAGCCCAGTACATTTTTGAATACACAACAACAGACCTCTTGGATTTGTACCGTCATAAGCCGGACTGTCCAAGGAAAATGGTGGCTAGTGATCGGTGAGAACCGCGCTGGCTGCTGATGGTTTTTGTTCTCTGACCTTTTTTTTTTTTTTTTTTCTATTCACATGGCTGAAAGTGATGAATTCGGCTGCTTGTCGGATCGGCGGCCATTACTGTGATTTTTACCAAGCTCTTGTTACATCCAGAAGACTCCGGGGGAGGGGTGGAGGGAGGGACTGTGCTGATTTGATATGTCATTTTCATTACTTTCCATTTTTGGGACCTGGTTCTGGAATCTTCTGTTTGTTGCGGGAGGAAGTGTGTCGTCTTTTCCAGGAGATTGTACGAAAGTCTGCTTCAACTTTAATAAAAGTAGTCGTGTGTTTCCAGTGCACGTCTATAATCCTCTTTTATGGGAACTTCTCTCATTTTCTGCATTCTGTTAAATGTACCTCCTGAGGGTGTTTGGTCGGTTTTATCTGTTCAATAAGTACCACAAATTAGGGATGTGCCGAAATTTCAGCTGCCAAATGGGCAAAATGCCGATGGTACAAAAATGGTGGCATATGCGGTGCATCCCCAGCTTCTCTCCTCCACCTGACCGAAGCTGGTTGCAAGCTTCGGTCAGCGTCCCCTCCGATCCCTGCTGCTCTCCCCCCACCTGTCGGCAGAGGGAGCAGGGATCAGAGAGGACGCGGAGCTGATCCAGCTTCCGGCACCCAGCAGGAAGGAAAGACCTGTCAGGAAGCCGAGGGGGAGTGGCAGGGAAGGACAGCTCGGCTCTGGTGATGGGAGGGGGCAGAGCCGTCAGGATGCACAAACACTGAGCGATCAGTACTGATCACTCAGTATCTAAATAACTGAGGACATAGTGATTACTATGTTTCCAGTTATGAATGAACAGGAAGTACTCTACATCACTTCCTGTCCATTTATGACTAGGGACATAGTAAATATTTACTGCTCACTTTATGAATGAACAGGAAGCAGCTCAGTACGGAGGCTTCCTGTCCATTCATGACTGGGTTCATAGTACATATGTTCTATCTCCAGATTGTGAGTGGACAGGAAGCCTCTGTACTGGGAGATTCCTGTTTGTTGAGTGCTGGGGCTGCAGAAAAAGAGATTGAGGATACAGTACAGATTCCCCAATCTTTTTTTTTCTATTTTAAAAGGGAAGTATTTCCAAAGACCCCCCCCAGCAGTAAAGTTAAAAAAAAGTCTAAAAATTTGGGTGCATCCCTACAAAAAAAAAAAATCTCCAGTGCTCCCTGGCTGTTATCAGTTACCTTGTTCCTAGTCCTCTCTGACTACAGAATGTCTCTCCCTGTGTTTTATAAAGAGAAGTGTTCTGTAGTCCTGCAGTCTAGATAGGCAGAGCCAGCTGTCAATCACGCAGCTGGGTGGATCTCGACAGTCATGCTCAGTATATAGCGAGCTGCGGCGTCTCAGTATACCCCGAGCTGTAGCTTGCTATATACTGAGCTTTGGGTGACGGGAGGATGCTAGTATATGTCCTCCTGTGACCTTAAAGAGAACTATGGGGGGAAAACACTGACCTCATAGTTCTCCTTTTTAAACCAACAGTTCCTAGTAGATCTTTCACAAAAATCTGAAGAGCGCCTTGATGTGTGTGCGTCCGTGCTGACAGAACCTGGAGTCTGAACACTTTCCTGTGCTCACAAGGGAAGCAAACAGCAGCTGCACCTCTAATCCACTGATCACATAGAGTAAGAAGATTGTGGAAACTCCTACAAAGACATTTGGAAAGCGGATGTCTTGCTCCAAGCTCATCTGTGGCTAACCTCCTAATGCAGCTGGCGGAAGCTGCCATTCTATGAAGAAACCGGATCATAAATCAGCAAAGATCAGAAGGCCTTGTTCACACCAAATGCAGAGCAGATCCGGTCAGGTTTCTGCACGCTGCGATGTGAACTGGAGCTCAAAATACCATAGGAATACATTGGACGCAGTTTTGATCCGGTCTGCAGCTGCTCTGCTCCGCGCTTGGTGTGACCAAGGCCCTAACACTCAGCCCTGTATGCCAAACCCCCACGCCCCCCTTTTCATTTCAAGGTTTCACACAAGTTAACTATGTGTGATGTTTGCCAAGGTATTTCTTCTACCTACGTTAGCAAAACTCCGGCCCTCCAGCTGTGGTGACACTACAAATCCCATGATGCATCTCTCTTCGGGAGTCGTGGCTGTGAGAATCTTGCAATGCCTCATGGGATTTGTAGTTCCACCACAGCTGGAGGGCCGGAGGTTTGCTACCCCTGCTTTATGGGTACAGACGAAGCAAGCTAGCTGGTCAGAAGGTGCTTTTTTTACAGAATGGAGGGAGCCGCCCCTACGATGGAGATATTCACTAGCTGTCCAGATGAGTAGGCGACGAGGTAGCTGCAGAATTCCAGAAGTGTTCTCGGGGACATCACAAGACAGTATAATAATTACAAACATCGGATTATTGCACTTTAACGTAAAATCCCTTTTTTTTTAAGTCCATTAGGGGCACAGGAAGTCTTAAAGGAGAACTATGAGGGGGGTGCTTTTCACTCACCTCATAGTTCTAGCCGACCTGTGACAATGAGACTGTCACAGGTCGGCTCAGTGGATCGGGAGGTGAGCGAACACATACCGGCGTTCACTCACTTCTCGATCCTGTCACTGCAGAGAGCCGTGACGGGAGGGACTGGATTCCCCGCTCCGATCCGCCGGCGTTGACTGGCGGGGCGGGTACAGCTGGCTCTGCCTCTGGATAGGCAGAGCCAGCTGTCACTCACGCAGCTGGCCGGATCCAGACATAATTGTTGGGATCCGCTACGGCTGCGGCGTCTCAGTATACCACGAGCTACAGCTCCCTATATACTGAGCCTAGGGTGACGGGAGGACGCTAGTTTGTATCCTCCCGTTACCCTAAGGAGAACTATGGGGAAAAACACTGACCCCATAGTTCTCCTTTTAACCTTTGGGTTATACTACTGCCCTCAGGAGGATTGGACCCTAGCTAACGGGAAAAAAAACTGTAGGCCAGCCAAGGATATCCTCTCCTACTACCAGCATGCCTTAGGTTGCAGCTTCCCAGGAAATCAGCATCAAGCTGGCTGCCCGGCTCCGATTGGCTGGGAAGCTGACTCCATGCTGTTTTGCCGAATTGATGTCGATCTGCCAGGAAGCTGGCTTCCTATCCAATCAGCATGGAGTTGAACCTGTCTTCATGTTCCCTTGCGGCACTGCCGATCAGAGGAAATCTCCCTCTGACTAGAAGTTCCGGTATCGGCATTTGGGCGAGTACGAGTACTCACGCAAATACTCGGTATCGGCACCAATACTAGTATCGGTATCAATGCATCCCTAGATTTAACAAAGTACAGAAATTC